TCACCAAATCTCACCAATGTATGTCTCTGTATTGTACTTTAGTTTTGTAAAGAAATGACCTAACCATGTATTGGTAAGAGATTGGTTTCACGGATTCATGCAATGAAAAAATATGCAGCAATCTTAAAAACTGAGGTAGACCTACAGGTTATGACCTGGAAGACTTCAAATAGGTATAAAAATGTATACCACTGAATTTTATGACATTTGAGAATTTAATAAACATTTCTGAGATGACATAGGAAAAAGTGTTCAAAGTTCCAGTAGGTGCTGGGGTGGGGTATCAGGACAGTGACCTCATTTCATACCTATCTATATTTTTAAAAAATATTTTATTATTTTTATTTTATGTGTATGCATGTATTGCCTGCATGTAGGTAAGTGCACCCGTGTCGAACAGTCAGTGTTCTTATCTGCTGAGCCACCTCTCCGGCACTGCCCCCCATGTACATTTTTTTTAAAAGACTTATTTAGGGACTGGAGAGATGGCTCAGCAGTTCAGAACACTGGCTGTTCTTGCAGAAGACCAGGATTTGAATCCCAGCACCCACATGGCAGCTAACAACTGTCCATAACTCCAGGGGATCCAACAGCCTCTTCTGTCCTCTGCGGGCATTGCGTGACATAGGTGTACTTACCTACATGCAAGCAATATACACGAACACATAAAAATTATAAGTAATAAAAAAAGATTTATTTATTCTTATTTTATGTGTTTTACTGCCTGCATGTATGTAAATACACCATGTGTGTGCAGTATGCACACATGCCAGAAGAGGGTGTAGGGTCCCCCTGAAAGTGGAGTTACAGATAATTGTGAGCTGCCATGTGGGTGCTGGGGATTGAACTCTGGGCCTCTGGAAGAGCAGTCAGTGCTCTTAACTGCTGACCCATGAGTCCAGCCTCTTTCTGCATTATTTAATGCAGAAAGTAATATAGTAATTGTATAGTAACAATGAAGTAATATATGGCTTAAAGCTCTGTTTAAAGAGAGCAGTTTAAGATGAAGTTTCTTTGCTGACATGGCAATACAGGATGTGGAAAACCTTAAAAATGAGTATTTTCCTCTGGGATATACCTTCATCCTTTAGTAACAGATCTCCCAGAACAGAATGAATAGCTGTTTATTTTCTTACGGGACTAGGGTACAGACTGATAGGGCAAATTACCTGTGTAATATATCCAACTGAGCCTATAGAGTCTATACTGTATTTGAGTAGAGAGCTGTGCCTTTTTGATTTTTTTTTTTTTTAATAGGATTTCTTCTTTGCAGAGCTGGAGGGAGGTGGCAGCCCGAGAGGGAAAAAGTATTCGGTGAAGGTCAGGCTGTCACGCTCTCCGACTGCAGCCTAATCTTTGTGGACTTCCTGTCTTTCTCCTTGACAGGCATTCCCACCCTTCCCTGCCCCCTTTCTGGCTGGATCTTTCTCATAGCATTTACTGCATGTGCCAAACTAGCTACTTGTTCTGTGAAGGAAAGGACTGGGCAGTTCTTTTCACTGATGGAACTTCAGCACGTGAAACTGTACCCACATACAGTCTACCACAAACATCTATCAAACCAATGACAGAGTGGGTACATATAAATACACACCCATGTACAAATACATATATATATTTTAAAATGTATCAGTATCATTGTTGAGAAAAGCAAGCTGACTACTGCCACAATATTTAGTTGCCTTCCTCTAGTTCTGGTTTGCTAGCTATAAAAATAAAAGCAGCTCACGTTTCCTGGTGAGACTCCACTGTTCACCACATGGTTAGAACTCTTCTCTGGTGCTGATGCCAGTGGCCTCTGTTAAACAGAATTCAAATCTCTGCTCTTGGCATGCATAGATGTTTGTCAAATTACTCAACTAAATCAAAGAGGGAAACGATCTTCGTAGGACATTAGGTCAGTGTGTTTATTTATTGGGTATTTGGTTTTGTTCTTGCTTCAGACAGCATCATATATAAAACAGGCTGACCTGGAATTACTGTGTAGCTGAGGATGACCTTGAACTCCTGATACTCCTGTCTCCACCCCCAAGTGCTAGACACCATATCCAGCTTCAGGTTTGTTTATTTTAAAAGTAGTTACTTAAAATGCAAGGGTCTTCTGCTGACTGCTAGCTGAGGACTTCCTGCTCATGACCACCCATGTGTTCAGCACAGATAACCTTCCCCTGGCAGCTGTTTCAGACCAAACCTAACTGCATTTTGACCTTTTTGAACCAAGCTCAAATGAAACAACTGCTAAGATAGCTATGTCCTTCCATTTAGTTGACTCTTTGCTCAACAAATTGTCGCTACAGACAAACGTCCTAATAGATGTACCAGGAGGGCTATGAAATCTGATTCTCATATAAAGAGGCAAAATTCACAATGATAGAGAAATGTCATTATTACCATAAAATTTAGACAAACTCCTGTCTGAAAAATGTAACAAAGTTAAGGATTTCAATTATGTTCTTATAAAGTTTAAAAGTTTCATTTGCTACTAAACCTGAACAGCCATCACTAGCTTCAGCCACTAACCCTGGTAAATTTCCAACAACTTTACAGAAACTACTATTGTGATAGGCTCTGAAATGACTTTTTCTTCAACTCAGGTCATACCTTAGATACAAAGCAAGGTGCATCACTTTCATTAGTGAGTTCTTATTGGCAAATAAAAGTGTTATCTAGTGGCTTCTTTTGACTTTCCACATAACATCAGAGGGGTCAAGAGAGTGTTCTGATTCACAGCCTCAGTTTCCGAACCAGTGCCAAACAACGAAAGTAGAGATGTGTAAGTGCTTCAGTTGTAAGAGAAAAGTAGGTAAGGAATTGGCCTGAAGGATAACTGTGGACAGCTGAATGAAGGATTTCACACATGACATGACATGATCAGAGGCTCTTATATTCACTAGATTAATGAGAGAGAGAGAGAAAGGGGGGATGGACAGAGACACAGAGACTATCATTGGTTTTGCCAGTTTCAAGACTTAGTTCTGATACAGACCCACATCAAAGACCAGTGCGTAGGGAGATAGAAATAGTCTAGTCTGCTCCTGGGGGTAATATTCATGTTGATGTAGGTACCTACATTTTGAGGTACTTTTCCATTGAATAACTGTCTTGTGATAAAGAAATAACCGTGAGAATAAATTCATTTTGATTCATGATATTCAGAAAGTAACATGAGAAAATGCCTTCATTATGTAGCACCACTGTCCTCACAATCCTTAGGTGGCTCCCTGTGTCCTACTTTTGCAGGCAGGCTCTGAGAGTCCTGCACCATTGCAGCCCAGCTTCCCACCAAGCCCACATCCATTGCCCTTCACCCACAGCAGCACATCAGGCCTTTCCCCACTGACTGCTCCCCTGTACTTTTGGCTTTTCTTACCGTTTCCAAACACTGGAAAGCCAGCTGTTCTTTACTCCCCATTTCCTCAATTCCAACAACATGACAGACAGGAGCTGCAGTCCCATCTTCCTAAAAACCCTTCTTAAACCCTTCCTTGGCACTTATTCTAGAAGTTTTTAGACCTTTTGTTCCAGGCACCTTCATTTCCTGTATTAGTCCATCTACTCAAGTGGCACTCATGTGTTTTAATCTTTTCTTTTGCAGTTCCAAGAACAGACATCACGCTTTACTGTGAAGCAAACCAGTGACACAATTCAGTCCAGTTCAGTTCTCACAGTACCAGCTGGCTAGTGGCTGAGGGAGGGGCCCATAGTAGGTCTCCCTCTTGTTAACTGGTCATGGTCCTCAGGAGTGTGGATCAAAGATGGACAGCATGAGGGTCATGGCTCAGATGCCCAGGCTTTCAGAGAATAATCTGCCTCGTTGAAGTTTTGCACAATAGGATGGGAAAAGGAAGCAGATAGGAGTCTGAAAAAGCTGCAGAGTAAGAAAAGCCTTTCTTTGCTTGGTTTCCACCAAATCAAGATGAAGATATTTCCTGTTTTTAAGTGAGAGCTATCAAAGTTTTCCCATTAGAACCACTTAAAATTCATGTTTGCTGACCGCAGATATACCACAGAATCCTCTATCCCCAAACTGCCTCAAGGAAAAGTGCTTCCAAAAGAACAAGGAAGTCACACTATAAAAGGAGTAACCCATACATGCTCAGGCAGGTCTAGGACACACCAGAGCATGCTCAAAGGGTGAGCGGCTGTAACTACTACTACCATCCAATCTACAACCACATTGCAAACCAGCTCTTCTTCAGAAATGTGCCCACACATTAAACCTTAGGTGTTAATACAGCCGTGAGTATACAGTGACTTTATAAAGTCTTCTCACTTTAATTAACAAATATTTATGTAAACATCTGCTGTGTCCATGGATATTCATGTATGCATGCATATGTGTACATGTAAATGAGGGAGAGATCCTGAGGCTCCAGAGTCCTGAGGATACGAAGAAGAACTATATATAGAACTATATATGACTTGTTACTCAAGGAATCAGGAGCCTTTCAACATGTGGTGTGTGTGTGTGTGTGTGTGTGTGTGTGTGTGTGTGTACAGGGGTAGTGTTTATGTGTAGGCCAGAGGCTGATATTGGATGTCTTTCTCAGTTACTTCACCACATTTTTTGAGACAGGGTCTCTTAATGAAGCTGGAACTCACCCATTAGGTTAGACTGGCTGACCAGCAAGCCCCAGGGATCATCCTGTTTTTGCCTCCCCAGCACCATGTGCCAGGGGTCTGTACTCAGGTCCTCATGCTTGCCCAGCAAGCACTACCAAGAGAACCACTTCTTCAACCCTCAACATGCCTTTGACTGCAACCTCCTGGTATCCTGTCACCAAGCCTGTGTACTAATAATTACAGAGGGGGCTATAATGAGGGAGACTGTCATATATTCATGAGGGAATGAACTTCCCCTACTCCTTGTTCGCCTTCATGAACAAAGCAGGACCTGGCCTGAAGGCCTGCTTGGCCCTTCCAAATCCTGGCACTCAATCCAGGCCGGGTTTGCAGATGCCAGAGAATGCAAGCCTGTCTGTCACAGACCGGTCTGTTACCTCCATCGCTGCAGGTCCTGGAGTCTGATGCTAGGCTGTCCGTGGAACCTGTGGTGAAGCTGACATGGACCCCTCTGAAGGATGGGCTGAGGCTCTCTGCAGAGCTCTGGCTCACTTTTTCCAAATCAGAGCTGCTTTTGTTCATTTTTAGCAGGTGCCTGGAAAAGGAACAAACAATGAAAGTGATTCAGTTGGTTTCCATTGAAAGACCCAGATAATAGGTTATGAACCTCCCATGCTCTTGAAGCCTAGCCAATGCCAGCAAGTTCCAAAAATGATTTGGGGAAGTGAGAACCGGTTCTTCTGAAATCTCATGCACATGAATGGAAAGAGGGCTAGGAGAAAAGTCATTAATTCCGACAAACACTAAAATTCTGCCTTGGGAGAGCACGCTGCCTTCATATCGGACCCCATCTGCCATTTATGCCATCTGTTATATCCTGGGAAACATGGCTAAAAAGAATAAGAAACAGCATCATCCCGTCTGCTCTATAGAAATGCACAGAGACTGTATGGAGATCTGTACAGACAGGGTGGTTTTCGCAAGATCTGAGGTGACTGTCAAACTAGGGCTAAAACCATGAGGTGTCTTTTTTGCCTGGCACTCTACTGCCCTGGCTTTGGAGGGTCTTAATTGTTACTTGGAACTAAAGAAAAGTTTATTTAAAATTTAACCAGACTTCCAGTGAAGTGCTTAAAGAGAACCAAATTCACCCTTAAACCTAAACTGTCCTTTGACTGCCTATGAAATCTTTTGTTGTATAGCTTAGATAAGCATTACCAACATATCAGAGACCTGAATACTGACTTTAAGGATAGAGTCCTTGCCTCAGAAGAAGCAGCTCCAGTATTTGGTAGAGTGAGTGTTCAGCTTTCTAACTGATCTCTCCTTCCCCCTTTCTAACAACTGAACATTCACTTCTAGCCTGACATTTTCAAGCTGAAATGAGACATCTGGTGATCAGTCCAGCTCTTTGCCTGCTGCTGCTAATCCCCATTTGTCTCAACTGATGCTTCTGGATGGCATCTCTGTTCTGTTATATGCTTGCTATGCAAGCATGAGGACCAGAGTTCAAATCCTCATCAGCCATGTAAAAAGCCTGCCATGGCTGCTGGAGGCAGAGATAGGGGGACCCTGGGAGGCAGAGATGGGGGGACCCTGGGAGTATCTAGTTGGCCAGACTAGCTAACGGAGCTTCTAGTTCAGTGAGAAACCCTGTCTCAGGAATAAGACGGAGAGTGATAGAGGAAGATACCCGACTTCTTCAGATCTCTGTATGAGTGAGCACATGGGCACATTCACCCACAAACTGCCATATACATGCACACCACACACACACACACACACACACACACACAGGAAATCACCAAGAGAGAAGCTCCTGCATCCTGCCTCCTGAGCTGGCACAGTGCCCACTTCACATATGGAGGAAACATTTGATAAGATGTGTACAAATAAACAAAAGTAAGAGACTGACAAATATGCTTATGTGTGAACATGCAAACACACACACACACACACACACACACACACACACACACACGCCAAATTTGAAAGAAAGGGGAATTCTTGGTGCTACATGCAAAGGGATCCCAACACCGGAGCAGGACCAAGGACTCTTAGGACAAAGCACATGTTTGTTGTTGGTTCTGGTAGAAGCTTTTAATTTACTTTCTTATCTATTTATTTTTGAGATAGGGTTGTACAGTATAGTCCTGGCTGGTCTTGAATTTGTGAACCTCCCGCCCCAGTCTCCCAGGCACTGGTACTTATGGGTGTAAGTCACATTTAGTTTGGCAGATACTTCTCATCACTTTGGAGAAAGTTTGTTTATAATTTTTCAGGAGTTTTATCTTTTAAAATCACTTCTAATTATTAAAATTTTAAATATTTCATTTATTATTTTTATTTTATGTGTATGAGTATATAGCCTGCATGTAGATAGGTAAACCGTGAAATGCCCATAGAGGTCAGAGAGGGCTTCAGATCCCCTGGAACTGGAGTTATGGATGGTTGTTAGCCTCCATGTGGGTGCTAGGAATTGAACCCCAGCCCTCTGCAAGAACAGCCATTGCTCTTAACTGCTGAGCCATCTCTCCAGCCTCCACTTTTTCAATTTAAATTAAATTTAAATTGATAACTAAAATGTAAAAAAGACTACACATGAGTGGGGTACTATATGGTGTTACTAATAACTTTTCTTCCTTTTCTATTCTTTTTTTGGGGGGGGGGCGGGGACAGGGTCACTCACTGACCTAGGGCTTGACAAATAAAAAGAGACCCAGGAACGTGCCTGTGTCTGTCTCCCTAGTGTTGGAATTATAAGCAGGTGCTACCATACTTGGCTGTTTTTTTTTTAATGTGGTTCCTCAAGTATGCAACCCCACTACTACCTTTTCTTGAAGCAAGCTAGCACACACCCTTTACTGAACTTCTCTAGTCACCCATTGCCAAATTTCACTAATACATAACTTAGAGCTCTTATATTTATAGTCATGTAGAGATTAGCCTATAATTTCTCTCTTTTGTCTTTGTATAAAGGTTAAATTAGAAGTCCAAAATAAATAATATTTTCTCTTTTTCAGTTATGTGATGCTGTTTTATAAGGTTTACGTGATCCCTGAAAGGTCACCGGAACTTTTTGTAAAGCCACTGAGGCCTGGCTGCAGTGTGTGACATCAGTAAAAGTGAAGCTCTGATAATCACAGGACAGAGACATGAGGCCAGCGAGCTAAGAAACCGGCCTGTGGGTGTGGGAACTCGCTAAGTGACAAACATAGCATGCACTGATGGTGAGACAGTCCTCAGTCCTCACGGCAGCTACTTCTAATAGACACAGGAAGAGCAGCACTATATCTCAGACCGTAAACAAACAGGAATTTGGGGTAGAAAAAAAATGAAGAAATTAAAATCCATTAACAGAAAATAGTCAAAGAAAAATGTTTCTGACTTTGGGTAGGAAAGTATGGTTTAATAAAACAGGAAAAGAAAAATAAATATAGATAAAAAGTTAGATAATTTACAAAGATGATAGAGTATATGGGCTCCAATGGGGGGGGGTGGAGGCTATGGGAGGGTGCCATTTGGGATGAGGGTATAAAGATGAATAAGATTGTTTGGGATGTTCTGTATGAAATGTACAAAAAAAATAAAAAATAAATATAAATATAAAAACATAATAAAATAAAATGTATGTTTTCCATTAAAAAAAGTTTGATAATTTTCAGTACTCTAAAATATATTTTAATTTTCTGTGTATGAGTGTATTGCCTGCATGTATGTAAGTGCACCTTACGGAGGTCAGAAGAGGGCACTGGACTGCCATGGACCAGGAGTTATGGACAGTTGTTAGTTGCCATGTAGGTGCTAGGAATTGAACCCAGGTCCTCTGCAAGAGCAGCCAGTGCTCTTAACTGCTGAGCCATCTCTCCAGCCCCAATTTTCAATACTTTAAAACTTCAAACTTCTGGGTGATAAAAGGCATGATACAGAAAATAAATAAGTGAACCCTGGGCAGACAAGTCGCATATCTGCAACACGCATACTCAATAAAAATTGGTGTCAGAATATCAAAAGAACACTTATGAGCATAAGAATTACACAAAAGGCAAAGAGGGTCACAGGTAGCTCAGTAGGTAAAGGCATGTGCCTCCAAGCCTGAGCACCTGGGTTGGATTCCTGGAACCCACACAGTGGAAAGAAAGAACAGATAAGAACAGATGCTTACAAGTTGACTTCTGACCACACGTATGTTGTGGCACTCGTGCATCCCCCAACACACAAAATAAGCATATAAATGTAAAAAAAATTAAAGACAAGGGAAATGAATTGGCAACTCACAGAAGAAAACACACAGGAAGCCACTCAATACAGGAAAAAATGACCAGGCTTACTGAATGAAACAAGGTCTCATTTCACCAAGCAAGTCATTGGCAATAACAAGTATTGTTAAAGACATAGGAAAACAGGAACTTGCTTGCACTGTTTGTGCCCCCCCCACACACTCACCACTATCAACAACAAAACAATGTTAAGGAATCCTGAAAATTAATGAGTCCCGAGAGACATGTTCTTATAACCCAGAGACTGCATTTATCCTATTTATCCTTGAGTAAAATTATTAAAAATGGAAGGCTAAGTCATTCCAATAGTTCATTTCAGCAAAGTAGAAATAACCAGAAAACATGAAAATATGTATAGTAAGTAAGGAGCTGTAAAATTTTATTTTGTGGAACTTCTGTTTGGGGCATATGTTTATTAACTATTTCATACTTGGACCATGGTCTTTTAAAAGCTGTTCTATAATAGGGATCAACAAACACTCTTCCTTGAACAGCAAGACAGTTAAGTGTTGGAAGCTCACTGGCTGCATAGACTGTACTGCAGCTCCTTACCTCTCCTGAGGTGGTAGGAAGGCACCCACAGAAATTTAAAATGAATGTGCATGTTTTCCAATAAAACTTCATTTATAAAGCCAGGTGGCTGGTCTGTAGGTAACTGTTACTGACTCCTGTTCCAGAAGAGCCAAGTCCAGTAGAAAATATAAAAAAATTAGTGCTAGCAATTTTAGTAATGACTATTAACATATATATAAGACTGTAATCTCAATATATAATCAATATAATTTTTTTTGAGATACATAGTCTTATGATGCAGCCCTGGTTGGCCTGGTACTAGTTATATAACCCATGTTGGCTCAACCTCTTGGCACTCTTCCTGCCTTAGCTTCCCAATTGTGAGTTATACGCAGGCCAGCACCATGCCCGGTGAATATAAAAATGTTAATGAGCTGGTTTACATTTTTCTTCATTCTGTCTTCAAAATATGACATGTATTTTATATTTCCAATACAATGAAAATGCTAACTACACTCTAAGACAGTGGCTACTTTCCTGTATAGTGTAAATCTAGAGAAACTCCCATACATGGACAAAAATGTTCACACACATACAGAAAAATCCCATTGTAAAATAGTCAGCTGTCCATCAATAAAGGAACAGATAAACAGACACAGTCTTACAATGGAATAGAATATAGCTGTCAAAAACAAGTGAACTAGGGGCTGGAGATATGACTCAGTCATTAAGGGTGTTTGTTGCTCTTCCAGAATTTGGTTCTCATCACCCACATTGGGTAGCTCACAACCACCTATAACTA